TATACAAAACAATTATTTTTATGCAGCTGAAATCACTGAATGAGCTCTTCACATAATTATGGCTTTAACGTTACTGGAAAATGAATGCTTCAAGCCATTCCACTTGGTACAAACAGTAACTGTGCTGGCTACCAGAAGCTATCAGGAGAAGACAGAACTTGGATGGTCCTGTAAGCCACAGGAACACCCTTTTACACTAATTATGCAACCCATTTTCCACTTACATCCTCACTGAACCAGCTGGTGTCAATTCAGCTGGATTCTCATTTCCTGCTAGGAGGCATCTGACAAGGTCTGTGCAAGTAATTCACCTGTATTGTTGAGATTTTTAGGAAGTGCTAAAGTGTGGCAAAGGTTGGCATGGAAGGATTGTAGTACTGTCCTAAGTTACTGCAGAGTTTAGTCTAGGAAAGCAGAAGTACTGCTGAGTTTTTTCATGTCTCTCCCACAGGCAATTCAGACTCCTTTTGGCTTGTTTGAAAAGAAAGGGCCATGGTGTTCTTGCACTGTTTGACTGTGTTGCAACAACCCTGCAGCTGATGCCCAGGCATTCTTTATTGATGTACAGATCAAATGACAGCTGGGAGTGGCTTTCTGGGAGTGACGTCCCACATACAGTGATGTCAGCAAAAGATTTAAAAAATTCAGGTGTGGCACGATCTGCCAATTAAACTGATTAGTGCTTTGGTGAAGTTTTGAGAATGGAGCTTTGACTCTACAGCTTTGCTTACTGAAGTATTTTATGGAGTACTAGTTTTGCCTAGTAATGGTCTTCTACTTGGTGCCTTTGCTGAAGTGAGCTGTAGGTTGAGGTAGGACCATACCAAAGGGCATGTGCTAGTTGTCTTGCTGTCTGAGAAATCTGCTTCTACCTTACAAATGATCCTGACTGCTTGGAAGCTGTGACACTGGAAGAATTCCTGTGACTGGTGGGATCAGGATGGAGTGCTTTGCTGCATTGTTGGCAGAAGTCAAAGCTTGTCAGGAGTCGATGGAAGCTGGACAGAAGGAACTGAAGCATGACATGGAAACATCTCAAAAAGAAATCAGAACAGTGCTAGCACTGCAGAGGAGCCAGCAGCAGGTGAAAGAGGAACTGAAAGCAGAGATGAAATCTAGTCACTTGGATATAAGAAATGTACTTGAGGAAATCCAACGAGTAAGGGAAGAGATGGAAGCTCGGTTAAATACTCAGGCTGATCTGGTCTTACTGATCAAAGAAGTGAGCACCAACTTAATATGTGTAGACAAGGCTTTCCAAAAGATGGAAGAGAAGCAGGAAGGTTTTACCAGCCTGCATCTTCCTACAAAAGAAAATGTTGAACGCGGGTTTTGCTTTGAAAAATGCTTACACAAGGCACACCTGAATTTTCAAAAGCCCATGGAAGCTGATAGTTTGGAAGAGGAACCTGAAAAGAAGGTGCTTAGTGGTAAGACAATGGTGATTGCAAAAGCGTGAGGAGAGAAGTGAGGTTGTTCTTATTTGTGCTTGTCAAGTAGTTTGTTTTCAGTATTTGGAATGTTTCTGACAAATTGCGTCTCTGGCTAAAGAAAATAATTTCTAGAAAATGTGGGCATTATCCTGGTACACGTTAAGCAGGAGGCGGCTTTGCTTTGGCTCTACAAACAAAGGGGTGAGTGACATGCATTTCACCTGGTAAATCAGCAGTGCACAAGGTAGAGAGGTTTGGGATACCAGCAGTATGTGGCAAGTCCTGAGGTAGCTGCCCATTCGAGTACTGCTTCAAGTACTGTGCAGTCCTGAAGCACTTAAATGTAATGCAAACCAATGTTTGAACAGTTCTCTGTTTCTTGTTTATGATCTCCTCTAAACCAGAGAATCTGTGTATGGAAAATAGTTCTGTTTACCAAAAAAAAAAAAAAAAAAGGATGGGTCTAATGTTCTCATCAAAGAACAAGAATCTGCATCTGCTGTCTGTGTAGTGACCTCACAGGGAGTGGGAAGTTGCAAGGTCATCGGATATTCTTTTTGCCAGCAAAAATAGATGTGAATGATTCAGTAATCAGAAGGCTCAATCTTTGCAAAATTACTGCTGCTGTTTTGATGGGGAAAAAGGATATTATCCCACATTGTTGGCTCTGTAGGGATACTGTGCTGCATGCAAAACTTGAGAATCTATGACTTCCAATATTCAGAAATTGAGCATCTCAAATAGGCTTGATGCAGTGTTTTCTTGTCTGCTGGAGAAGAGTCCAGAACCTAAGCAGAGGGGGGAAAAAACATTTTGCATTACAAGTCTGACTTGTCTAAAGGTGGCAATCAACAATGGCAAAGTGAGGACTTGAGCTGGTAACTGATACCATCTTTAATTCAGAGTCTGTCATTGATATGTTATATCAGTGATTAGACTCTTAATGCTTTGTTTTAATGAAATCATGGCTTTTGTTTTGACATCATAGCGTGCCTTCTGTACAAATCTGGAAACAATCTGTCATTGCCCAGAGGTACATGGGCCATAAATAAGCATTGGAACGCTGCTGGTGTTAATCTGTGGAGGTTTCATGCTAGCTGAGAAATACTTTTCAACATTTGAAGTGGTTGTGCATAACACACGTCTGATAAAATTGCCAACAAGAATGTCAGGGAATTTTTGTGTATGTTTTTTGCTCAGCTTTTTTTAGTGTAGTATCCAGAGTTGGCTTGGGTGGATGTTGGAATAAACACCTCTGAATAGTCTTGGTGTTCTAGGCACTGCAGTAAAACCATTGATGTGAGACTGGCAAACTGGTGAAGGCTGGCTGAACTATGGAAACAGCAGATGTCTGACTCCTGTGTTGCTTGTGGTTAGCTTTTGTATCAGTGTATTAAATAAAAACAACTTCATTAGGTAACTGTATCTGATGTAACCACTTTCCTGAGTGTATCTTGTCTGCAGTCCTTTGTGGAAATTTAGAGCAGCTTTGTCAGGGTCGTAACAAATAGATGTTTGTCATTTCATATAGTTAATTAAGTAATGACACGAGTATCTGTATTAGTGAATTTACCAAGCACCTTTAAATCAGGAATAATTCTTGAATTGTCTTTGTTGTGTAAGGGGAGCATTCAGAGAGGGAGGTGGAATAAATGAGAGAGTAGGAGTACATGAGCTACTTAGGTAGGGAAGGGCCGAATGTACATGTTTATTCTCTAGTCTCTGCCTTGTTGGTTTGCTTTTTTTCCCCTCCCCTTGATTATTGTCTCTACTAATTTAGTTTTTCTTTAACAACCTTCACAAGCTGACAGGTATTTGCTACTAACACAGTATTTGGTGTGAGATTGCTGGGTATCTAACAAGATGGCTATCAAATTTGAACCCTTTTTCATGTAAAAAGATCTATTTCAAAAGGCATTGTGTCTGTACTGTGAGAAAGTAACTAGTCATGTTTGTTAAGAGGATGGTAAAAATAAGCTACCTAGAACTGGTAAATAAGCTTGATCTGCTTACTCTACTGATCAGAATTTGGCTTTTGATTTGGGTTATGTTGACATCTTTTAACTGCTCTGCTATTAATCTACAGTGTGTGTTACTAATTGAAAATTTACTCTGCAACAGTTAGCATCTCCTAAGCAGGAGTGCAGTAAAATTTCCAAGAATGCAGAAGTATCTGAACATTATAAAAACAATGTGCTGACATTTCTCTAACTAAAAGGGAATGCAGAAAATCTTGCCTACAGTGGACTTATTTGAAAATGTGAAGACCCTTCACACCCTGCTCAGTAAGAGAGGTGCAGATGGCATAAATATTTTGAACAGGAAAATTTATTTCACATGTTTTAAAAATGAGTGAAGTCTATACAAGACTGATGTATTAATGCAATAGATGATGTGTTGGTTAGATTAACAGTAAAACTTTGACTCTCAGTTAATGTCTTTAGTTGTATGACTGAGCCTTTCACTGCTGGTAGTATTCAAGTCTCACTTGACAACCTTCATACCAGATGTTTGGGCTTCAAAAGGATTCATTAGCAACTACTCCTAGTTCATTCATTTGTGTCTCTCTTTTTTTTTTTAATCTCCACACATTCGTGTTCTTATTTCCTCTAAATCTCACCTCTCAGGTTTTGTTACTTTATCTGGAAGAAATCTTGTTAAGTTGAAACTGTATAGAGTAATCTGCGTAGATGTCTTCATTAAAATGCCAAGGGATATACGTGTGTTGCATCAACATTTTATTGCAAAAGTGTTTGCTTGTTCCATGCATGATCAAAAGGAGAAGGTGCTGTGCTAACTTTTCAGTCCAAAGGCAGTGAGAAACCTGTAACCTCTGTGGTGTTTATGAGTTGAACACTGGATTATGTAATGTGGTTTCTTTCCTCTGACAGTACGTGATTTTGTACTGTGATGTGATTGAGGTTGTACTGTTACTAAGAGTATTAAATGAACTATGTAATTCTTGGACTATAAGGAGTGGCGGGGCATACTTGAAATATATTTCAAGTTGTAGGGTATTTTAAAGTACCATATTTGTGAATGAAATTGCTGACACTAAGAAGATGTTGAAAGATGTTTGGTTAACGGAGCTCGAACCTGAGCTGTAGAGTGGAGTTCTTGCAGTGAACATTTTGAAAGGAAGGAAAAGATAAGTGAAAGTAGGGAAGAAGTGCTTAAGTATTCAGTGCTACATTACAGTGTAGAAAACATGAAGTTCACGTTGCAAAAAAATAAGAGACTATTAAGAAAGCAGTAAGTCACTGTATAGGTAGGATGACAGAAATCTTGTGTTTTATGAAAATATTTATTCAAAGCACTGTGTGAATAGTATGCTGAAGGGTAAGCCACAAAATATGTGAAGGTAAGATTAAAGAGCAAAGTGTTATATGTGAGGTTACGGTGCTAGAACCTAATCCAGCAGATGGTATTGTCTGCTCTTCTGTGCTATTGAAATAACTGTTTCTCCTAGTTAGTGTTTCAGGCAGTGTTTTCTTTTCTACCTATCTTAAAGCTTTGGTGAGACATGAAGTGTATATTAATTAATTGCTGTTGGTTTTGTTGTTTCAGTTGACAAGGGCAAGCAGCGGAGTCCTAAAAGCTCATGCATACAGACCCAAACCTCCACAGATGTGCATTCAACTGGCACAAAAACAGCTGAGTTGGCACAGTACAAAACAAAATGTGAGAACCAAAGTGGAATCATCCTGCAGCTCAAGAAATTCTTGTCAAGCAGTAATCAGAAATTTGAAGCATTAACAGTTGTGATCCAGCACCTCCAGTCTGAGGTAAAAACTTAGAACTGATCTGTATACTAGTTTTAGTTTGTCAAACTGTTCTCAACAGTGGCTTTTGAATATATCAGTATACTGATAAATAATGTTTCCACTCCAGTTGCTGCATTCTTGTTTGTTTCTCCTCCTAGAGTTCTTTTTATTTTAACATGTGTTACATTGCAACCACAGTTAACTATAGGCATATTAACTATAGCCTCCACTTAATGGTGCTATTATAACAAAATGCCTTCATGTTAGTGCAGTTTTTAATAAACTTTAATATGTATTTGTAGTCTAGAAATAATTTTGTTAAGTTGCACGTTCAATATAATGAAAGCTATTTTTTCTCTAGTACAAATCTGGTCAATTCAGTAAGAGCAGCTGTTATGGTTTTTTTGTTTTTTTTTTTTCTTGTTAAACTCTGGATTGGAACACCTTTCTCTAATATAATTTAGTATTTTCAAAGCAATTTGATACAGGAATTTTGGATACCTGTCATCTAATCTGAAATGGTGAAATTTTTCCTGCTAAACTTCTACTCAGTCTTTTAATTTATAATAAACACTTTAATTTGTGCTAAGTTTGTGAAATTGAAAGTCTTGGCATACGCTCTTCTCTCAAATATATTGTGTTTGCAACATCTTAAATGTCAGGAATACTTTCAGTACTTTCGGTGTATCTTTATCTGAATACATAAGAAATCTTCATATGCACATACTTCCTTCAGGCTGTTTTTACAATGTGTTTACGGTGTAAGCATGATTTCCATGCAAATAATGGGAGTGATTATTTTTAAAAGTGTCTAAGACAGGAAAGAGAGAAGAGCTGTATGGGAGAAAGTAGTAATTTTGCTGCTGCTTGTTTTTTCAGTATTATCTTGTGGGTGGAAAGAGAAGAAATTTCATTTCCTTTTAATGATATGAAATGAGTAATCATAAAGAGCTAAGTCTATGCACTTGTAAACTGGACTAAAAATGACATACATGTGCTTTTAGTTGTTTCACTTCTTGATATTGAGGTTCTCTCGCAGGATAAGACGGTTCCAGTCTTACTGTACTTACTGTAGGAGTGAGAAGGACTGCTCTGCTATGGTTGATATAGGCAGTACTTTGAAATCTGCTAATTAGCTGGGGAAGCATTCTGTACAATTTCTGTATTTTAGTGAAAAAAATGTGAAGAGTAGTGGGTTTTTTGTTTGTTCCTCATTCCTTTCTGATGAAAATGTGGATTTCCATCTAGCTAACTTAAGCTCAAATGGCCAGGCATTTCTTTTCTGGAAGTAGATCTTGGAGGGTTTTTTGATGCAGTTTGCTAATGTACTCTAGTAGTCAAGGGATAAAATTTTCAGCTAAGCATAGCTCAAGCTGCAAGCCCCTGCCTTAACTACCACAGAACCAGCAGAAAGTTTTCAGCTTTTACAAAAGTAGCTTGCAGCTTTTCTAGTTGAAAGAAAAAATTTAAAAAATATATATGCTTAGCTGAGCAACAAGGTTGTGCTTCCATTCCTCCTACTTGAGCAAGTATGAAGTAACACAAAGCAGCCTGAGCTGATGAAATACCATGCTGTTGTCAGAAGGTCCCACTCTTGGCTGCTCTGGTGATTGTCTGCCCGTGCAGAAAGTTGATTCAGCTTGCAGCTACCAGAAAGCTACCCCAGCCAAAGAGAGAGCATTTCTTTGCCAGATTAGTTGCATGGACCCTTCTTCCTGGTCAGAGGCAGTGCAAAAGGGCTGTGGACAGTCTGTGCTGTCAGATAGAGAAAGGAGCTGGGCTGTGCTGCTGCACTGCTTCAAAAATGTAAGTCTCAGCCAGAACTTCTTGACAGAACCTACGTCAGCCTCCTGTATTCCCTGTGGAAGGAAGAATTGACGAAGCTGAAGTTAGTAGGAGAGGTGATTCAATTGCTGCTATTTCTCCTTTTTTCCTCCAAGAGTTCCTGATGCATTTCTGCACAAAAGTTTTAAGTTGCTTTTTATGAGCTCATTTGAAATGGGATAGCCGCTGACAAAATTAGAAAGTGCTGGCAATGACTAATGTCAGAAGTGCAGCCAGCACTCTGGAGTGAAGTTGCAAAGCTGCTAAGGGTTAAATGAGATTGTGTGAGGTTGCTGTGCTGTTTCCAGCTGAGCAGGAATCTGTCTCAAAACTCTGTGTGAGTTCAAACGTGTTTGCTACAAGCATTATCATGGAGGTGTCAATATTAACAGCTGGCTCTGATAATACCTTACCACTTGAGCTGTCAGAGTTTATCCAGATGATTTGTGTGCCTTTACCAAGACTGTTCTGAATTTGAGCAAGTGTCTTCAAGATGAGCCAATCTACAATGATCATGTTATAAAACCCAATTTCTATTGAGCAGGAGATCCTATTGCAATGAATTTTCACTAGATTGAAACCCTGATTGCAAACTAAATGCAATGAGTAAGTTGTCCGGCAACAACATCAAACTGTACCAAGTTTTTCCATTGTTAGATTATTGTGTGTTAAAAGGATGTGTTAAACTGCAGTCTTGCCATAAAAGCAAGCTAGTCTGTCTAGATGGCTATTCCCCTGCTAAACCTCTGGTAGTTCCTGCAACTCCCTGACCTCTTCCTTTTTTTTTATTGTTCAAACAGGAAAAGTGACAGTACGGTGGAAATGGTGAATATACAATAGGCTTACAAAGTGCAAAGGAAAGCAGTCTTCCATTAAACTTTAATTACATAATCTCTGAATTGAATTATGCAATACAACATTTGAATCATAACTTTGAATTAATTTATTTAATTAATTTATATATGTCCCTTCAGTAGTAGCTGCATACACTGAAACATTGAAAGTATGGTTTAAGATGTCTGGTCTTAACGCTTGGCTTGAGGCTGTGGCTCAACTTGTGGAATCTGCACTCACTCTGCACAGCTTGGTACCCACCAGGCTGGGGAGAGCCAGCTCAGGAACCCCATCAGGAAATTGTGGGGAGGGAGAGTGCACAAGAAAACAAAACAAAAAAGCAACCAAACAACTACGATGGGTCTGGCTTTATTCGGCTGTCCATACTCAAAGTTTTATGGTCTATTCCCCTGTGAACTCTGGGAAGGAGTGTCAGTGAGAAACCACCAGTGCTTGTGTGAGGTAAAAATGTAGGCCTGAGAGGCCCGCAGCAGTGTGTGCTCAGGTTAAACCACCACAGCTTTGGGATTGTTGTTGTTTTGTTGTTTTTTTTTTTAATTTGTTTTGTTTTACTGTGGAGGCTTTTTGTGGTTTTCATTTGTCACTTTGTTTTTGTCAGCTCAGTAGTGAGTTGGTCTTAAAATCTGGTTTTGTCTCTTCTAAAGCTGTTGAAGGAAGACTTACCTCTCAAGTGAAGAGGAAATGTATTGCCTAAACTGTTTTGTTGATACTGAAAGTGTGAATTGACTTTTTATCCTCATATTTGAATGCATGCATCTTAATTGCCACTTAGAGAAGTATTCAAGTTAAAAAATATATATATATTAATACTCAGTTTTGTTTTTCTAGTTTAAGAAATAAATCTTTTCAAGTGCTTCAGGAGCTCCCAAAAGATTCAGTAATAGAAGTAAGCTTCAGAATTGTGCCTGTGATACAGAAATGAACAGAAATCAAGCTTTACTGTGTTCTTCTTTTGGCATGCTCCAGAAGACTGGAGTTTACAACTCAGATTTTACTTCAGCATGAACATGGTGATTTCTTTAAGAAGTTTCCATCACAGGAGGAATGTGATTTGTGGGGCTAAGGAGCGTGGACAGTAACATGGGGATAGCATTAATTGTGGGTATGATGCAGGAAGCAACATAAGTAATGAGCTAGAAATTTTGTGGCTGAGATGGTCTTTAGTATCTTTAGGTGGAAATAAAGACCACCATTACTATATGAGCTACTATAAATGGCACTTGAAGAGTTTTTTCTGTGCACAGAGAAACATTCATCAGAATAATTTCTCCTGGCCTTTATGGAAGTATAACAGAAAATGTTCATTAGGTGAGAAATGTGTATCCTTCTTACAGAGCTGAAGTACAAATTCCATCATTAAAACCAAAACTCTTATTGGTAAACAGAAGAATTTTGGAACAATCATATTTTTGGTATATAAATATGAAATATGTTGGCAGGGCCATTAAGCGCAGCTCCTTGTCTGTGAGTTTTTAAATTTATAATTTTGACCTTCCAGAACCTAACATCAAACTTGTCTGGTTTTCATTAGGATGCTCATTCAAAATGCACTTCTGCTCTTCAGGTCTGGATTTGCAAAGTATGGATGTCTCTTTCTTCAAAACAGAGAATGGGAGTGTTTAATTGAGATAATTTGTGTTTCTTCAGATTTAAAAAATACAAAGTATCTTCCCCTTCCAGAGCTGGGCTCTGGAAGTGTTTGTCTTCTTAGAGAGAGCTGTTGGAAAGCAAGGAGGCTTCAAATTATTCTGACGTTCTCTGTAATACGTAGTTGCTAACTGATAAAGCCATTTTTAGCAACAAAATGTTTGGCAACTTTGAAATTTAGTGAGCTCTTAACTTTCCAGCTTCTTGAAGGACACTTTAGTCCAGGTGTGGTTGAGTATTCAGAGTGGACAATGGAGAGAACTGGGAGTCCTGTCCTCTTGCTACTCTTAACAAGTTGAGAGAACAAGTCTGTTGAGAAAACAAGTCTTTAACTTGAAAGCAGGCTTGATGTCTCAGGCACCCAGCATTGCCTTCCATGAGGAAGCCTGTTTCCATCCCTACCTTGTTATTTCTCCTAATTTTTATTTATTTATTTAAGAAGACACAAAGTTAATTACAAAGTAGCAAGCTAGATGTCTCTCTTGAAATTTGAAATGAAAGGAGGGGCTAGTGAAAGAAATAAAGTAACTTTTCTATACTGTATTTGCTTTTCTATACCGTATTTGCAGATGAAATTCTAAACATCTTGAAAGGACTTAAAGCAGATACGGTAATGTTTTGCTCAAACATACAATTTCGAATCTTAACATTCTAAAAAAAACATAAAAGGGATTATAATTTCATAGATGTTAGAA